AATACGTAATTGCCAAAGGTCTATCATATTTCTTTAATTCAATCTCGTGACTGACCTCCTAGATGGTGGAAAATTTCTTAGAAAACTTGAGCAACATCATATTTGAGAACTCAACCAACACATCCTTAATCACATACGGGATATATCAGCTCTAAATTGGGTTGTGAGAAATGTCGTGTGTAGGGATGCGAGATGTGTCAATGTACTTTCTTGATTTCCTTTGATAATTGCATTGTCGATAACACATGCAACTTAATCTTATCATATAAAAAGAGACATTGATGGGTACATCATTATAAGTGATGCATATTATTTAGTCATTCTGAAATGTCACCATCTTTATTATGTCCACAAATTTCATGCTCAATATCATCTTCTAGTCATCTATTGGGACAATTGTGAACTCCACTTCATCATGCCAATCTTCGAGTTGCATGAATACTTACTTAGCTACATTGGTTATCGACTTACATGTCAGGTTTACCATTTTATCTATTTGCATTATTTTATTACCTTCACACCCAACCAAGCCACATCACCCTTGACTAAAAGGTTGTATGTTGCCTCTATGTCCACTAAGGTCTTGGTGAATCTTTCATTCACCTTTATCCTTGTCTTTATTCATTGTGGCTTGGAAAGTGCTTGCTTCAGCTTGGTGGGTTGGCCTCTACTCCCTGCGATCATTTAAAGTCAAATAAGGGTCCGTAGGGACTGTTTTCCTATGAATGACGAGCTGCGAATCAACATCATGCGTAACAGTTTGTGTATCGCAGTCCTACTGCTTCAGCCTCCATTCTTTTTGGCTATTTAAGCGATGCCGAAGATTTCCAAAATGAACAGATTGCTCGGAGATTGTTCTGGTCACATACCCAGCTCGCTCTTTACTCAAATATTGTCTAAAATCCTTATGTAGTGTTTCTGCAAGTGCAACGGTCATGAGTGACACGTTGGAATTTTGCTTCGAGATTTGCTCGCACACCAACCTTACTGCTTAGCGCCATAGTTGTCGACGTCTTTTCTGGGATCGGGTCAGTTGCTAGTATTCTTTGGGAGGTTTATTTACAGCCCAACTCCCATCTATTGATGCCCTTTCTGGTCGTCGAGTTGGATATAGAGTAATTACAACTTATCTACCGACAAAATTCGCCAAATTTCACCATTTTTCCAGTGTTTGAAGGTGCTAACATGTCTCATGTAGGATTTTGGAATGGGGGATGATAAGCCTTCGCTAAGTTCTTGAGAAACGGTTTGTGCGGTACGAGCAACTTCTGAAATATGTCTTTCATTGAACCGTACGACTGCTACCCTTTATTTGGATAAATTCTAACTGCGTTCATATCAATGGAAAAATGATCGGTATCTATTCTCATGTCTGTCCGATCAACAATATGTAATCTCCTTTCTCTAATTGCTTTTTGTACCACATTTCGAAACACGATACAATTTTCAACTGTGTGGCCGAAAATTTTATGCCATCTACAAAAGCTCTTTCATTTAACTCTTTTTCGGATTGAAATTCATGCTCATCCTTCAATTTGAACTACCTTTCTTTAAGCGAATATTCAAATATTTGTTCTGTCTTTGAAATATCAAATGAGTATTATACTTTAGGACCAACCTTTTTTTGGGAGGCCTTCAATTTTGGGCATGTATGTATTTTTCCTTAAATTATTTCTGATAGACATGCCTCTTCAGATTCATCTTTCGATCTCGTATCTTTGTCTAAACCATGAACAAAATGGGTACCATGTTGAAGGTGTTGCTACCGAGTAGCTTTCATATCACGGTCAATCTGATCAGTAGCAAGTTGCGGTCGAGAAGAGGCCTTAACCATGGCTGCAGTGTTGTGGGATGCAACCGGTGACATTATAACTGAGGACGAGATGTTGCAACCAGGTCGAGAAGAGGCCTTAACCAAGTTGTGCGCTCTCTTCGCATATGTCTTGAGAGCTGCTCCATTATGATATTTCTTTAATCGAGGAAGTTGATGGTGTTGTACCGAGCCTAATTATAGACTGATTTTAAAGCTGCGATGAGCTCGAGCCTTCTTTATGACTTGACATTCCCCCCCCCGGTTGTGCCAATATCAGTTGTTGGACAACCTTTTGATACGCACCATAAGGACGGATTTCCTTGGGCACGTCCCACGATGTCGGTGTCTGTAAGGCCGCACCAAATCCCGTTGAGAATGATGCAGCTCGTTGTGCCGAAGTTGAAGCCGTCACCGTGCCTACGAAGCTAAAAAAACTATGCGTCCCTTGCAAAAATGCACTCATCGGGATGTTAAACTGCCCCCAGCCCCATATCTTGGCATCGGGATGACTGGGAACCATGCAGGCACCACGCTAAATGTTGAAAAATAGGCACAATGCGGCGGCTAACCTCTCCAAGCGGTCGCCGATATTTGTTATGGGACAAATTGCGGTTGCGGTAGCATAGATCTTGCTGTGGCAGACGGTGGTTGCGGCTTGGCTGCCATTATTGGTGGAAAAATAATCTGCGGGGCTTCCGGAACAACCATAGATCTGGGTAAAGGCGTAGTCGGGATAAATACTGAGTTTTGTTGCCAATGAACAGGCTGCTCGCTGCCCCCCGGAGTATTAGACGCCTCTTCAGCAAATCGTCTTCCCTTGTTCTGCATCAAAGCAAAAGGCTACTCGTTAGGGACATCTTGATTCCGGTGAAGGATCGTAACCTGGTTGAAGCGTAGCACTTTAGAATCTGCTAGTTCGGCTGCCGATGTTGGTTGTTCAATCCGTGCAAGTTCAAGTTCGGGGGTGATATCAGGAGACTTTCTTTCATTTCTCTCTTTCTCTTGGAACCAAGTCATCTATTTGTGTATTTTCGTACCAAGAATATCTGATAAATACTTCATTAATTGTAGCGTTTGGTCATGGAAAACAGTTTGCATCTCTATTCGAAAGCTCTTTGAAATAACTGGTGGTGGCGTGTATGAATTTTGCCCCCCGGCCTCCATTGAAGCAGAGGTCTCCGTATACGGCATGTTCTTCAACGATGTCGGTGGTTGCTCGCCGATCTGTGTTTCATCTCTGGATTCTTGGCTATTATTGAAACTCATTGGATCATTCGACGCATGCCTTTGCAAGTTTATGAATGTAGAGGAACACAACGTGTCTCACTGGGCATGTCAATATGTTGTCGCTCAAAATATTTTTTGAAGGCTTATCTGAGCAAGCTTGCCGAAAATCGGGTGGTTATCTGGCTTTCTCCAAAAAGGATCCGAAACCGTGTTAAAAAAATTAATAAATCAATAACAAAGAAAAAAAGGACAACAATAAATAAACAGAAAGCAATAAAATAAAAGGGAGATGACAAGAAATTGAAGAAAACTAGAAAGAAAATAAAAGTGAAAAGGAAAGTAATTACGAAGAAAAGTAAACCGAAGGGAAGAAAAATAAATTACATAAAATTACTCTCTCCGTCCCAGCTAAATTGAGCTTTTTAACTTAGACATAGGGTGCGTTTGACAATTAGCTCATAGTTGATTCAATTAGTTGGTTTGACTAGCTGATTCAATTAGCGGTTTGTATTAAAATATTTGGTAAAACAACTGTTTGACATTAGCTGTTTATACATAAAATGACTATTAAGGACATTGATATGTTATTTTTTAAAGATTTAATTTTGTTCATTTTGGTTTGAAATTTATGAGAATTTTTGTTATTAATTATTGAAAATTATAAAAATATTATAAAATATTTACTTGTATTTTTATTATTTAGATCCGAGAAAATTATTTTTACTAAAAAATAATAATTTTTTTTTAAAATTGTGTAAAATATAAAATAATAAATCTTTCGTATATATATTTTTATTATGTTAATTATTATGTTAATATATATAAATAAATTAATAACCTTTGTTTTTTCTATTTGATTTAGTTTTAAATTATATATTTTACAACTAAAATAATTTATATCTAATAATTAATAATAGTAATTATTTTAAATTTAAAAAATAAAAATATAATTTAATAAATTAAATATATTAAAAATAATTAATAAATACTGCTATAAAAATATATTTATATATAAAAAATAAATAATTAAATTTTAAGGATAAATAAGGAATAACCAAAATTAAAATGAAAAAGCTCTTTCAAAACGGTGGGTAGACGAGCTTTTCATAAATTAGTTTTTTGGGTCCAAAAAGTTCTTTCAAAAAACTAATTTACGAAACACCTAAATTAGAGTTTTGACTGGTCAAACAGCTAAAAGCTGTTGAATAAGCTAAAAGTTCTTCAAAAAACGCTGTTTCCCAAACACCCCCATAGAGTTTTAGCTATTGTGTAATTAGTAAATAATTAAAAGTATATTAGTGAAAATAATTGTAATTTAATAAAAATAATTATAGATTAAGATAACTAAATAGGTTAATTTAAAATTAAAAATAATTATAAATTATAAATTTGAAAATATGATTAAAATATATAATTATATTTAGAAAAATAACAAATTATGTGGAATATATAAAAATAGAAATAGTAGACAAATTAAGCGGAAGGAATAGCGTAAAATTCATATAAAAAAAAAAAAAGAAAAAAGAGAGAAGAAAGGGTTCTTTCTCTAATAATATTATGGAATAACAGGTCTAAAGAATAATAAATAATTAGAGTCTTCCTACTTCATCCAACCTATATATTTTTCCTTGTTTTATCTTCAAAATCTTCTTCATTATTCTCACTATCCAACATTCACCATGTCATATCATCTCACTTCTAAAATTCAATTAACTGCACTAATTATTCGACTAATAAACTTCTTAATTAAAAAAAAAACACTTACATAATTAGTTAGTCCTAAATTACATACAAAAGCAATTATAATGAGAGACTAATCCCCATTATTTATATAGGACAGAATAAAATAGAATATATGTGGAAGTGCATTTCTGTAATTATGGAAAGATCAAGGGGCAACTATTTACATACATCAATGTGGAACCCAAAACGGCATAAATGGATACACAATACAATTAACTAGAAAACGCAAAAAGTAGCACTAGTAGAAGAACAAATCTTTATTCTCTCTCTCTCTCTCTCTCGCTCTCACAACAGAGGTGTCTGTCGGTCAAATTTCTCCGCCACCGCAGACCTGGGAGGTCAATTCGCCGGAGACCACTGTCCAATGAGGAAGGACGGAGCGCCGCCGCCCGCCGTCAATCCGGCCGGGAAGCTCTCCCTCTGCTTCGAGACCAAGCCCTTCGTCGCCTCATTACTTGCCCTAACTCTGCTGCTCCTCGTATGGAATCTACAGCCTTACTACGAGAATCTCCTCTCCGCCACCGCCCGCTGCTCCGCCGCACCTTCTGCAACCTCCTCCGCTGAGCCGCTGCCGCTGCCTGTCAAATCTGCCATTCCTAGTAGCAGTAGCAATAGCAGCAGCAATATCTCCTCCGGCAGTAGCTTCGCAGAGAAGAAGCTGGTAACTCCCCCCGCCGACCCTAACAAGCGCATCTTCCGAGCCTACGGCAGCGCCGCCGCCCTATTCGTCCAGATGGGGGCGTACCGCGGCGGACCTCGCACATTCGCCATTGTAGGACTCGCCTCGAAGCCTATCCACGTCTACGGCCGCCCCTGGTACAAATGCGAGTGGATCCCCAACAATGGAAAGCCCTCGATTAGGGCAAAGGCGTACAAGATGCTCCCGGACTGGGGCTACGGCCGAGTCTACACCGTCGTCGTCGTCAATTGCACCTTCCCGGAGAATCCCAACGCCGACAACGCCGGCGGCAAGCTGATGCTCAACGCCTACTACGGTCCGTCGCCGCGGAGGTTCGAGAAATTCACGGCAATGGAGGAGTCCCCGGGGTCGTACAACGAATCCAAATTCCGATTCCCCAGCAAATACGATTACCTCTACTGCGGTTCCTCTCTGTACGGGAATCTCAGCGCTGCGAGGATGCGGGAGTGGATGGCCTACCACGCCTGGTTCTTCGGCGGCAATTCGCACTTCGTGTTTCACGACGCCGGCGGAGTGTCGGCGGCGGTGAGGGCGGTACTGGAGCCGTGGATTCGGGCGGGGAGGGTGACTTTGCAGGACATTAGGGATCAGGCGGAGTACGACGGGTATTACTACAACCAGTTCCTGGTGGTGAACGATTGCCTGCACCGGTACCGGCACGACGCCAATTGGACGTTCTATTTCGATGTGGATGAGTATATGTATCTGCCCAATGGAAGGTCTCTGGAATCGGTAATGCGGGAGCTCTCCAACAACACGCAGTTCACAATCGAGCAGAACGCCATGTCCAGCCTGCTCTGCTTGAATGATTCGGCTCAGGATCATTCCAGGTACTATTTTCTAATTTAGTTTTCAAGCTCCATCAATGGCGGATTCCATTACACTTTCTGCTACTATTGGTGAAGAATCGAGAGGATCGGATTGGATTGGTTAATGTTGTCTGCATTCATTTCTGTTTTTTTAGTCATTCCAGGAACTTTTCTTAATTTAGAATTCAAGCTCCATCTATGGCGGATTCCATTACACTTTCTGTTACTTTTAGTGAAGAATTGGGATTGGATTGGATTGATTAATGTTGTCTGCAAGTTCCCATTTCTATGGATTGATGGATCAATTCCTCTGCAGGGAGTGGGGGTTCGAGAAGCTGCTGTTCAGGGACTCGAGGACGAGGATCAGGAGGGATCGGAAGTATGCGATACAGGCGAGGAATGCGTTTGCGACGGGGGTGCACATGTCGGAGAATGTGGTCGGGCGGACGCTACACCAGACGGAGACGAAGATCAGATACTACCACTACCACAACACCATTACCGTCCACGAGGAGCTCTGCCGGAAAATGCTCCCCAACTCGGCCAAGAAGGTTACGACGTGGCTCGACAAGATCCCCTACACCTACGACGAGAACATGAAGAAGCTGGCCCCGGCCGTCAAGGAATTCGAGCGCCAGGCAATCGGGATCCACCGCCAGAAGAAAAGCCTCCATTCTTGATCGACATTGGACACAAATGCTGTGTTTTTCCGGATGAACACGATGACGATGATGATGAACATGAAATACGCCAGAGATGAGATGAGTAAATTCTTTTCAATTAGCAGTAGAGAAGGAGAAGCAGTTCTTTTTTCTTTTTTTTTTTCAATTTTTCTCTGTTAATCATGATCTTTATAATTAATTTTATTTTTTAATCTTACATGTATAAAAAAGTTGGTTCTTTTTTTCTTTACAGATTGGATGGATCTATATGGATGTTTGTTTGTATGAGTATGATTATTTTTGTTGAAGTTATTAGCCCTAGTAATTATTAATAGCTTCTTTTCAGCCTAGAAATAAAAAAAGAAAACTGTGCTTGTAATCAACGATATGTTTGAAAGGAAAGGAAAGAAAAGAAAAGGCAAAGACATGGCAGCACCGACGAGACGAGGGAATGGGCAAGCAAGGAAGGAAGGAGTGGTGAACCGGGCCCACAATTGACAATAGATCGTTTCCGGGCCGTTGGTTGCTGCCAATCATCATCTCTCTCATATCATATCATTTCCTGCTTGCGGGTATTGCTGTCTCTTCTTTATTTTTATTATTTATTACTAATATTTTTATTAGATATATATCTATATATTTTTTTATATTATATAAAAAATAATTTTATATTTAAAATATTAATAATACCTATTTATTTGGCATCTTATAATTATTTAATTAAAAAATTTTACTATTTAAATTTAAATCCAAAATTTAAACTTACAAACAAACACCGCATGTTTGTCTCACACACATAAATGTATACATTATTTTTTTTTGTCAGAGTAATAATGATATTATATTAATATTTAAATATTTTTAAATTTTATATAAATTATAAAAATAATTACTTTCTTCCTCCCACGTACCATGTCGACGTTGCCGTTTTTTTTCGTCCCACATACCATGTCATTTTTTTTTTTTGAAAAATAATTATACACTCATTTTAAAATCTTTAATTTTATTTTTTTAAATTTTAATTAAACTAATTAGTTATTTTAATCTTAATTTATAATTATTTATATTATAGGATAATTATTTTAATCCCTCATAAAATACCGTGTCTACAGTGTAATAGATACAGTATTTGAGACGAATGGAGTATTATATAATAATCTATCCGTCCGATTCATTTATTTTTTTTATATAATTTTTTACACAAATATAATTGTAATAGTATTATAATTATTAAAAAAAATTATATACTTTCCCACGTATAGTTGGGAAGAGATATTGTTATTATTATTATTATTATTATATTTTTGAGCTTAAATTGGAACTCATATAAAACCAACGACCTTAAATTGGATTCAATAAATAAAAGGTGAAGTCCCGTAAAGACAACCGGTGGTGTGAGGATTGAAGGTCTGATCAGCAGCACATAGATATGGATAAATTTACCGAACATATCGAAATATCGACTTATCGTACCGTATCGTTTTTGAAAATATCGAAATTTTCGGTATTTGATACGGTATAGATATTTCGGTACTGTATCAGTATGAATTTTCGGAAAGTTCGGTATTTCGGTATGATACCGTACCGATATTATTTTTATTAAATAATTTAATTATTAATATAAATAATAATTATTAATATTTTTATAATTATAACAAAAAAATATATAAACTATTGAAAATTTATTAGTTTTTTCATAATATTTTTGTGGTGAAAAATAGTGATATTTATTAATTTTTTAATTATTTTGAAATTTAAAATTATATTTTCGGTATAATCGGTATATAACGTTATATATCGAAATCAAAATTTTCGGTATAAGCGGTATATACCGTTATCGTATCAAAATTGAAATTTTCGGTATAAACGGTATATACCGGTACCGTACCGAAAATTTTGGTATACCCAAGTTCGGTGTACCGAATTCAGTATATTGAAACTTTCGGTACGGTACCGGTATGTATTTTAGTCATACAGAGAAGTTCGGTACGGTATCGGTATCGACCGGTATTTTCGGTACAATACGGTATGTCATCCCTAGCCACACATGATTCGTCTAGTGTGACTTGCCTGTCGGATCTAATCTGCAGGATATTAAGTTCATTTAATATTTACTCAGTGCACACTTTCGAATAGCAACAGCTCGATTCGCACATCATAAAAAAATAAATAAATAAATAAATAGTGTAGCTGAATTCCAAAGTAAAGCGAGTGAAACAGAGAGAGAATAACAGCATAGTTCTGTTACAGGCTGCCCTGCTGGCCTCTTGCTGTTCAATTAATCTGTGGCCTACGCTTCAAGGCACCATATGTACACAATATAATATAATATAATATAATATAATATTTTTATTATTGATTGATTAATTAATATAAATATAAATATAATAGTAATAGGTATAGGTATAGGGGAGGGGGAGGCTGCATTTGCAATGAAGGAGTCGACGCGTGCCTTGCAACTGTCGGTTTGATGAGCAGCGCATTTACAGCCAGCAATTATGTATGTATCTATTAATAATATATGTATATGTATATGTATGTATATGCACTTTCTCTCTCTCTGTCAGTCTGTCTCTTTTTGCTATGTTATGTTATGATACGATGTTATGTTAGTTGGGTTCAGACCACATCACTCATTCACTCCCTCGCACTCACACTTCCATTATTATTACCGTCACATATAATTTATCCATATTTTTTATTTTCGTCAGTCCCATATAATTTCTCTATTTCTTTTTTGGAAATATAATTATACAATTTAATCTCATTTTAAATTTTAAATTTTATAATACTTTTAATCTTAATTTTAATCCACAATTATTTTTATTATACAATAATTATTTTTACTAATACATTTCTTAATTACTTACTAATCACACTTTATCTAAATTCTCGTATCTACTGTAATAGACCTATAATACATGGGACAGAGGGATTATTATTATTATTATTATTATTATGGTAAACTGTTTTTTTAGTCCGTAATTGGATCCCCTTATCATTTTAGTCCCGTAAGTGGAGCCTGTCGCAAACTAGTCCCATAAGTGAAAAATTTTCACTGTTTTAGTCCTCCGGCGCCGGAGATGCCCGTGTGGCTCGCCGGAGGTGATTTGTCAGCCAGGTGTCGCTGACCTGGCGGACACGTGGATTTTTTTATTTTTTTTCCATTTATTTTTAAAACTTATTTTTAATTTATTTTTGATTTTTTTTATTTTTTTATTTGGTCCAATTAAAAAAAAATTAAAAAATTAAAAATAAACAAAAAAATAAATAAATCCACGTGTCCGCCAGGTGTCGCTGACCTGGCGGACACGTCACCTCCGACGAGCCACGCGGACGTCTCCGACGCCGAAGGACTAAAACAGCGAAAAATTTTCACTTGTAGGACTAATTTGCAACATGCTCCACTTATAAGACTAAAATGATAAAGTGCCAGAAAAAAAAACAGTTTAGCCTTCTTATTATTATTATTATTATTATTATTATTATTAGTCACATTGACGTACCCGCCTACCCGAGAAGAACCCACCCATGACCCTAACCCGGATCAGAGATGCCTTCATCATTTATCTCTGCCTTTCAACATTTGAGGGAGGCGGCATATAAATTTAGGCTGTGTTTGTTTGAAGGATTTTGGTGGATTTCCACTGTTCATTTAATTTTTTTTTCCCAAAAACATCAAATCAAACATCTATTTTTCATTTTTTATATTATACTAAAAATCAATTTTACATTCAAAACATCACATCAAACCCTATTTATATCACATCATACAACTATTCAAATTTAAAATTTTTACTATTCAAATCCCAACTCAAAATCCAAACCCCCAAACAAACACACCCTAATAAACACTAGTAGTATTTTACTAGTTATTTTCTTAGGAATGCTAAAAAACTATTTAAGTAAATACTACTACTTTCCCTGTCTTTTAAATTTATATCCAGAAAACTTTCGGAATAGATTATAATAGTATATGAAATTTTTATTGATATTTTTTATTTTTATAATAATAAAAATATATAAAATAGTACCCCCTCTGTCTATTTTGAATATATATTTATTTTTATGCAAAATTTTAAAAATAATATTCCTCCAGTCGTGCAAATGTGTGCTCATTTGATTGGACACAAATTTAAAAAAGTGAGTAATAATTGTTATTTTTTTTAATAATATAAAATAGTGCAAAGTGTAATGATTTTTTACTTATAGAGGAAACAAAAATATTTTTTGATGACAATCCAAAGAGAAAAATGAACATAGATTTGAACGAATGATAAAATAGTATTTTAATTATAATTTATAATTAAATATAATGTAAAGATAATTTTACTTTTGTTTTTTCTTCTAAAAACAATGGTGTAATGATAAAGTATAAGTATTTATTAAAATAAATAAATTCATATTTACTAAAAAAATTAGTTATTTTATAATTGAATCCAAAATAGAAATATGTATTTATGAATGAACAGCGGAAAGAAAATAAAAATATTTGTAAGAAACAAACAAAAATAAAAAAAAAAAAAGACAATTTTAAGAGATTGAGGTGTATTTGACAATTAATCGATAATTTTTAACTGTTAGTTAATTCAATTAGTTGTTAGCTGTTAGCTTATTCAATTAGATGGTTTGATTATCTGATTTAATTTGCGATTTGTATTAAAGTGTTTGGTAAAACAACTGTTTGACATTAACTGTTTATATGTAAAATGACAATTAAGAATATTTATATGGTGTTTTTAAAAATATTTATTTTGTTTATTTTGGTTTAAAATTTTTAATTTTTTTTATTAATTATTGCAAATTATAAAAATATTATAAAATATTTATTTTTATTTTTTAAATTTGAGAAAAATATTTTTATTAAAATAATAATAGAAAATTTTTATTGAAATTGTATAAAATATAAGATAATAAATGTTTTCTAATATCTTTTTATTATGTTAATTATTGTTTATTAATTTATTATATTTTTTATTTTTAATATAAATTTTATATAATAAAAAAATTTATATAAATTAATAATATTTGTCGTGCCTATTTCATTTAATTTAAATAAATTTATATATCTCATAAATAAAATAATTATATGTAATAATTAATAATACTAACGGAAATTTAGGTAAACTATAATTAATAAGCAATTAAAAAATGTATTAGTAAAAATAATTATAAATTAAGATTAAGATAACTAAATAGTTTAATTAAGATTAAAAAAAATTTAAATTTTAAATTTTAAAATATGATTAAAGTGTATAATTAATTTTCCAAAAAAAAAAAGAACAAATTATATGGGATGGACGAAAATAGAAATTAGGGACAAATTATGTGGAATGGAGGAAGTAGTAATTATTTTGAATTTAAAAATAAAATTATAATTTAGTAAATAAAATATATTAAAATTAATTAATAAATATTGCAATAAAAATATACTTATTATATGTATGAAATAAATAAATTGTTTAAGTGTAAATAAAGAATAAATATAAATAAAATGAAAAAAAACTCTGGTTACATTAATTTTTTAAAATTAATTTTTTTAGTTACAAAACCTCTTTCGAAAAACTAATTTATCAAACAGTTTGACTAATTTACCATAATAACAAGTTAAAAACTCTTTAAAAAAGCACTTTTTCCCAAAGACGCTGAGAATATTGCATTTATCATTTGATTTATTTATTTATTTATTTTTTTTCTAGACTTCATATTAGAAAATATTCTTATCTACTTTTTATCTACACTTTTTTACACTAATACTATATAAAAAAAAAAAATTAATTATTACTTATTTCATTAAAATATATGCTCAAATATTTAATACAGTTTGTTAACAAAGTGTTAAATATGATAGTTTACATTAAGGTTGAGTTTGTTTCAGTGTTTGAATTTTGATTTGGAATTCAAATAATATAAATTTTGAATTTGAATATTTGTATGATGTGATATTTTAAATATAAAATTAATTTTTAATATAATATAAAAATAAATAATAGTTTTTTATTTGATATCTTTTAGAAAAAATTTGATAAATAGTATTTATAAAACAAAACACATTTAAAAAATTTCTTAGTTCAAGCTCCAAATCTAATTATTACTCAATTCTTCTTTAATAATTTATCCATTTTTTTTTATTTTAGTCCGTCTATAATAAAGTATCCATTTTTTTTTTAATAATTGTGTTTTATATTAACATTAAAAATACTCCTACAACTTACAATATATTACACAAATGTCATTACCTTTATAGTATAACACAATACTAACGCCATCTCCAACCCACAAACTCTGTTTATGCAGTTTTAACTTTGAAAATGCAATTGCTACAGTATTTTTACTCCAACCATAACTCTATTTTTTACTTAAAAAATAATATTATTCAAAATATTCCATTTTATATATTATTTTAAACTACTTTTTATATCTATAATTAATATAATTCTTTTAAAAAAATATTAAAAAATAATAATAAAATATAAAAATAATTAATAAAAAAAAAAAAAAAACACATACAACGCCATAAAATAGCGCGTTGGTGTTGCACTGTAGCAAACACCATTTTTGGTGTCACAATTGGTGCATGGTTGAAGAGGAAGAACTACATATATGGATTTGCAGCGCAAAAAATGCAGCCCTATTGGAGATGCTTATTTTAGTCTTTTTCTATTTTATTTGTACTTCAACCCAATATAATATTGCAAAAAACAAACGAATATATAAATAAAGAATGTAGAGAGTATAATGTAGTACAGATTTTATTTACATATTTGTCCCTACTCTAATTATATATTTTTTCTTTATTACATAAAATTCTATTCTTTATAAAATATATTTCTAATTAAACATTCTTCCCTTTCCATCTTAATTGATATATTTCTACTTTTGCCAGACATATTTTTTTAAAAAAATAAATTTACTAAATTAAAATATACTTAAAAAATATAAATCAAACTTAATTAAAATTCATATAAAATTTATTCAGAACTCCTTTATTTCTCTCTTAAAAGAATAAATATTTTTTATTCACATTTAAAACTCTATATCTTTTATAATATTAATTTATATTAATTATAAATAAATAAACATGTTTATTTATTTATATATTATAAAGAATTTCATTATATACGAAATAATATTCATATTGCACATATTTTTTTAATTGTAATATAATTATTAAATATTTTAAATAAATATTCTATTTTTTAATCATATAGATCAAATTTATTTTAAAATTATTAATATTATTAATTATATACAAAATAATAAAATAATATTGATTAATTAAATATCATTATCTTAAATATGAAATATGACAATTCCTACTCAACTAACAATGAAAACATCTCTCCTTCATCAACTTCCAACCAAATACACAAAAGCACTGATTGTTTTCTCAATCCAGGTTGTTCCTGGTGCACAGTGTTGTGTCTTATTTGTTTATGATAATGATATATAATCAAGTAATCAACCAAACAAACAATATTAAGATAATCTTGTGTAATAAAAAATAAAATAATTTTGCAATTACAAAATTACATACAATGATTGATTACTTTTGGGACAGGAGATTGGCTGTCTTTGTCTTAATCATCCATTGGAATTTAGTAAGAATAAAAAATGTATATAGTTAAGTTTTGTCCCAATGTCAGCCTAATTTTCCCATCTCAAATACCGCCAAATTCCAGAAATGTCACAACTGGCAGCCTTTAAAGCTAAAACTAACCAAATATAATTTAAATCACACCAAAAATGAAATATGATTCTAACTCTAATTACTATTTCAATTATAAGACAACCAATATTACATTTCTTTCGTCCCAAAACAACAAAGACACTTGAGATGGACACGAGAATTAATAAATATTAGTATTATATTGATATTAAGTGTAAAAATATTTCTAAAAGACCAAAATGTCCATCCTTTATGTAATTACTGTGAAAAAATGAAGATAATCATGTAGCTGAGTAGAGAACTAGTCACCAAAAATAGAAATAAGACTATTGTTTTGAGACGGACGAAAATGGTAAAATAAAACTATTGTTTTGGGACGGAATGAGTATTTATTTTGATAGATTAAATATAGCAATTCACTCCATTTACTATATTCAAGTGAATACATAAAAGTAGTAATCGATAGGCATAAATATAGGCACATGCCATTCATATACATGAAACTTATATGTTCGATTAATGTTACATTAAATTAAGTTGGAAGACATCATCGGTAACTAATTGTTGTGATAACAATCAATGTTTTTCAGAGCTGCTGTACTGCGCCAAAGGACAATCACAGCGCTTCGGTTAAGGTGCTGATTGGGTACTAATCAGTATCATACTAATTAACTCAATCAGCACATGAAAATACTGTAGATAACATATGAAAATATAACACACAACACATAGGCTATCAGCATGAAACTGATTAAATTTAATTAGCAGGGTAACCACCGCCTAATAATTGATTCTGAAAATTAGGATAGAAATGTAAAACATGCAAATATTAATGAATTGTAGAGCAAAATGTTCTATAACTGGCAGGCACAGGCAAAGGCAATGCAGCCATGCACAATAAGCTTTTCGGAATTAACACAAGAAGGGTTCATTATAATTCCAAATCATCACTATAATTCAACATGGCAGGAAGGTTGAGCCATAAATACCTTTTTTTCAAGAAAAGGCAGAAATGAATTTCAAAATCTTAGACTGTGTCCTTTCCTTCTCTTCTGGGCCTTCAAGATCACCAATATTGTCATGATATTCCTGTGTGATTCATGCCCAAGGAGAAGCAAGTACACATCACATCGTTATATATTCTAAATAACATGTACAGAAAAGAAAATTGCAACTTCCAAAACCTACGGAAAATATGAGGGGTAAGTTTGAAACCTCACCTCAGAATAAACTTCTTGAATGAAATGAACATGAGGGAGAAAAATAGGCAATTGATTTAAGACCTTTAATGATGAATGCAAAAATGCAAGAACTCAATTTTAATTTAAATAGACCTCAGCCGGATTCTTCTATTATTAAATGATACTTCTAACAATGAACAATCCAAATCACAATCACAATCTAAGCCTGCATATAATGGAATGCTAGTTCTCCTGCTCATTTTTCCCTTTGTTAGAAGTAACTTTCAAGCCTTAACCCGTTTACGGTACCTAACACTCATCAAGAACAGTTCTTAATTATGCAAATTCGGGAATAATCATACATATAATAGTCCTTGGGTGAAACTATTAAAAAGCATTAGAGTCAACAGAAAAGAGGAATCCCATGAACATAAAAGACAACAATGCTATATTTTACTTATGTCGCTACTTTACAAATAATTAGTCAAGGCTCATACCTGAAGTATATCCTTAACATCCTTTTTAGTTAGCTTCTGCTGCTTTAATAATAGTTCTATTCTTGCTCGCATTCCAGAGTGCCTAGCAAAAAAATCAAGACTATAATTAGAATTAAAAGCCATGGAAATGGATAACTTCAGAAACCATGCCCACTCATTGGTAACTATAAATGTCCAACCAACTTACTCAGAAGTCCACAAGTGACCCACAATGACAGAAATTAACTGCAGAAATGTAGAATTAGAAGAATTAGAGTTAAGTAGAAAGCCAAACAACTCATACCAAAAAAAAAAAAAAAAGCCAAAAACAAGAATCAACAGCAACAGGCATGCCTGAAGTGTATAAAGCCCTGAATCTAGTTTTCGATTATACTTCTCCTCTTCATCAATCTGCAGCCATGATAAAGATGAAGACATTTTCACGAAAAAATACCCTCTTATTAAAGTCGCAACGATGTGATGACTGGGTTGAAAATACTAACCACAAAGTCATCAAGTTCAAGCTCATTAAGTCGCTCAGTCTCTGCTTTCACTCTATCAGAATATCTAAAATAGTAAAGCAAATCAACTTTGTCAGAAGAAATGTAGATAATCAAATATTAAGAGCACATCAACTGGATGCCCATATAAATAAATGTTCTGAAATAATGACCTCATGTAGAGTTCCATGAGTCGATCTATCTTTTCGTATTCATTTTCCACAAATTTACTCAGCAATCTTTCCCTCCTAGAACCCCTCAAGATTCCACCTGGCATGTGATAGGAGATACTGATATCAGTACAACAAAATGCCAGCAAAACAAACAAAATTGTATCATGCAGAAAATCTTAGGAAAATGTTATAAAAGTTCTGACCGCATTCTGCTGTAGAGAATGCAAATCATAGGGAACAAGCTCATACAAGATTAAAACAATACAAATTCATTGTATACCGAACAAATAGCATTCCGGGAGTAGAATGACCAGTGTTTATGGTTATGACCAACCACCCTCTAGACTGACAAAATACCGCACATTTATAATTACCAGACAAATATGAAATCCTGGAAGAAAAGGAAAGCCAAATGTTTCCTAGCATCTTACTGGATGAAAGTATGCATGCTACAATTTCAGTCTCCCCATTTCAATAATCTCAAGGGGAAAATACAAAAAAGAATTCCAAAAGGAGTCTGCCTTCTTACCAAATAGTGATGCAATTAATGATATGAGCCGCTCTTCCAGTTCTTCTTTATATCGATTTTTCTTGTTCTTCTTGCTTAAAGGTATCTAAAAGAAGCATAAAAAATTCAGAGAAAAACATCGACAACAGCCAGCAGCACACTCAATAATCTAATCCAGCACCCAGAAACAGAATTAAAGAGAAGACAGCAAAGCAAATTTATATCATACAAATTAATTTTGTACTTCATCAAACAACTCTGGGGTTAATTTTTACTCAAATGCATTTCCCATTATCTCAACTAAGAAAAGATTGACATCTTGAATAAATAAAAGAATTCAAAAAGATTACAGAACTGAGGCTCAAGAAAACTCAACTCTCAATTAGTCTAATCAAATTTTGATCGAGAAAGGTGCATTGGACTTGCCTTACCCATAAAAGCAGGGAATGCAGTCTTCAATCCCATCACATCAATAAACCGCTCACACGCCGGCGGATAATTAGTCATGGCAAAATCGAGCGCCCTGATCGCCGAGCCATAGCACAATTTCTTCTGGTTCATTATGATGATCATCAACTCCACCCCTTCTGCCTTCACAAACCTATTCCAATCATTAATGAATAAAGAAATGATAAATTTCCCCATAAGCCTAAAATTTATGAATGAATAAGTATTTCAACGGATTGGAAGGTCCATGATCAAATTATTTGGAAGTGCTCAAGTAATTCAACAACGAACCTTTCCTTATTCTCCAATGGCATCAACAAGCAACACAAACAATCGAACAAATTCTCTACCATCTCCTCCTCGTCCCCTGTCTTTGGATCCCTGGACTTGTACATAGCCACGGCCTGCAACAGCGTGTCCACGCCATTCATCTGGCCGAACTTCTTCTGGTTCGCGTTACTGTTCTGCAACAAAATTGCGAGAATCTCGGAAGCATACTGCTTGTTACTATCGAATTCACGAATCTTAATCCGCGCCTGGAGCCATTTCAATAGCTTGGTCTTCTCACAAACGAGCTCTGCAACCGAAGGCTTCACCTCGATGAGGTTCTCGATCGTGGACAGCGTATTGTAAATAGCGGTCGATTCGTCGGGGTCCGAGTCGTTCAACCTTGACAAATTCTGGACGAGCAATTCGACCGCGTTGTTCTCCACGAGAGCGTCGACGAGCACCTGCGCGGACTCCTCGTTATCCTCGATGACGTCAGCGTCCGTGAGGTCCTGCAGGAGAGTGACGGCATCAATGGCGATATCCGTATTGTCGTGGTTGAGGAGTCCAGTGATAGAATTGACTGTGCCGAGGCTGACAAGGTCAGGATAGAGCTCGGGCGCGCCTGCGAGGATTTTGAGCTTCTGCAACTCGTCATGGAGCTCGAGTTCGGAGTCTGCAAACTTCTCGGGGGTGTCGGGGTACTTGAGACGGGCGGCGGTGTTTGCGTTGAGTCGACGCTCTAAGGATAGGGCGAGTTTCTTTAGGGTTTTGAGGTCGAGGGTTTCGACGGTGTTGTGCTGGGATTTCTCGAGGGCTTCCAGGAGTGAGAAATCTATGGGGGCGGCGGAGTCCGGCGGCGGCGGGGGGGAGGAAGAGCGTTTCCGTTTGTGGGGTGTAGCGGAGAGGTCCATAACACCGCCGTCTGGCTTGGTTTGTCGGCGCCCTAACTTGATTTGATTTGCAAACGAAATGACAATACCCCGAAGCGTGGCTTCAACGAAGGAGAGAGGGGTATAGGAGTAAATTCACCAAATCAGGCTGTGCTTGTTTCAGGTATATTTTCAAAATTTCAAAAGTTATGGTGTACTTCTTCTGTTTCGTTTGGCAAATTTTGTGTTTGTTTCTTTTATCAAAATTTTCAAATTTTTATTAGACTCTACATTTTTTTAAAAAATATATATAATTTTTTTTTACAAAATTAATATTATTTTAATGCTAAATTTAAATCAATTTTTTTTTAAATTCATAAAAAGAAACATTTCGATTGGAAGTTGGCGCCATATTCGGAAGACTATTATTATTGTGCTAAAAAGATTTGGGATTGTATTATTATTTTAAATTGAAATCAAAATTAATATTATTTATTTGATACAATTTTTAATAAAAATATATTATTATTATTATTATTTTATAAAGTATTATATCAAAATATCATTTAAATTAATTACAAAGTACAAATTATTAGATTTTATTTTTCATTTTTTTTAAATAAACATTTTTAAATATGTTTATTTGAAAACTTGAATTTTAAATTTAAATCTAACTTTTTAATTCTAAAACTTTGAATTTGAATAGATACTCAATCTAAATAAAAATCATGTCATAATTTGAATGTGGCATTAATTTTTATAATTAAAAATACAAAATAAAAAATAGATTTAATATTATTTAAAATATAATGTAAATAGTAAAAATTCAAAAGACCTTATTCTTAATTTATTTTCAGAAAATATCACTACAAAAGTAATTCAATTTATTTTCAGAAATTATTTATTTTAATTTAAGATACAAACTTATAAAATACAATCCAATTTTTATTTCTAAATTTTTTATTTACATTTTCTTAACCTACTCCCTCGGTTTCATCTTAATTAACGTATATTTTTTATTTTTTGTTATATTTTAATTGATATTTTTTTATTTTTGATAAAATTTACTAAATTAAAATATATTTAACAAATATAAATCAATTTAAATAACTAAATAACATATAACATTATGCGTCGTGCCAAAACTCACTTATTTATATATTTCTTCTAAAAAATAAATATTTTTATCTATATTTAAAATTCCGCATCTTTTATAAAATTAGTTTGTTTTTATTATAAATCAATAAATGTATTTTTTTCATTTATTTATATTATATGAATTTTTATGATATTTATATTGCATATAGTTTTTTATTGCGATATAATTGTTAAAGTATTTAAATTCATATTCTAAAATTTTAATTACATATATTAAATTTATTTTAAAATTACAAATATTATTAATCACATAAAAAAATAATATAATAATTAAATATTATTAACTAATTAAACATCGCTATTTTAAAGATTGTGCCTACCACCAAAAGTGTCAATTATACGTGAATGTATGAAGTGTATCATATTATACTTTTACATCAACACAATTATTTGCTATCAAATCAATATATATTAAAATCTTCAAAACTCAAACCAAATCTACAAACCTAAATGAATTCAAAAATTTTAAATTCCTCTTAAAATTCAAATCTAATCCAAATTCAAAGTCAATTTTTCTAAACTTCCTCAAAAGAAATACACCATTATTTTCGTAATTGTAGACACTAAAAATATATGTCTAAAATCAATTAAATATCATGTATTTTGGAAGAAAATAAAATTCTAATAAAATAAATATATGGTATTTAATTATGCACACATGTTAATTTTTGTACAATAAATATCAACAATTAATGCAAAAATCTGCTTAAAATGGAAGATATCGTATAAATATTACGTGCATAAATAGAGCCATAATAAATTTGGCAGCAAAATAAATTAATCTTGTCAATAAAGGAAGTATATAAATTAATATATTCCAAACAAGACAATGATATAAAGATCTTGTCAATAAAGGAAGTATATAAATTAATATCTTCCAAAAATGGCAATAATATAAAGATTTTGGCGAGAAAAGAAGGTGCACAATCAAATCCGTCAATAATAGAAACGGCATCCGATGGAAAAGGAAAGATTATAAAATCTTTCCATCCACGTAGCACCATCCGAAAAGGAAGCCAAGGCCGCCCTCCCCTATAAATAGGAGTCATGGCCAATTCATTTGACACACCGAAGTTGCGTCGAGGATTCAAGCAAAGAGGTAAGTCTCTAGACTCTTTCTGTATTGTTCTTCATGTTCTTCGTGTCCTTCGAAGCGTTCTTCGTCGAAAGTCACTAATTTGGACAAATGATCCAATATTGGTTGACGAATCGATGAAGTTAACGTTGTTCGTCGTATGTCTGAGCCGGAGGAAGGATCAAAGCTCTCAAAGCCATCGAGGAATCCATCAAAGCCAAGGAAGAGCCTCCAAAGCCGCTCTTAAAGCTTCAAGATGTTCGTCGCGTTCTTCATAAAAGGCGCAAACCAGGCCCTCTTCGATCCAAAAGTCAAAGGGACACGCCGCCAAAAGTGCTATGGAGCACTAAATCCACCTCTTCAAGGATCAAAGCTCTCAAAGCCGTTGAGGAATTCGTCAAAACCAAGGGAAAGTCTCCAAAGTTCATCCTAAAGCTTCGAGGTGTTCATCGCATTCTTCACCAAAGCAACAACTCGGCTCTCTTCGATCCAAAAGTCAAAGGGACATGCCGCCAAAAGCGTTATGGAGCACCAAATCCACCTTCTCAAAGATCAAAGCTGCGGATTGTTTAAAGAGGACATCAAATCCAAAGCTTAGGATCAAATCACCCGCACGGAGACCAAAGCCCTCCAAAAGCGGCAAAGACAAATCAAAGATCAAAACTACGGATCGTCCAAAGAAGATATCAAATCCAAAGCTGAGGATCAAATCGCCCACACGGAGACCGAAGCTCTCCAAAAGGCGGAAAAGGCAAACTAAAGATCAAAGTCACGGATCGTCTAAAGAAGACAACAAATCCAAAGACGATGATCAAATCGCCAACGCGAAGACCAAAGTCCTCCAAAAGCGGCAAAGCCAAAGCGAAGGTCAAAGTCGCGGATTGTTTAAAGAAGACAACAAATCCAAAGACGATGATCAAATCGCCAATACGGAGACCAAAGTCCTCCAAAAGCGGCAAAGCCAAATCAAAGATCAAAGCCTCGGATCGTCTAAAAAAGACATCAAATCCAAAGCCGACGATCAAATAGCCCGCACGGAGACCAAAACTCTCCAAAAGCCGGCAAAGTCAAACTGAAGACCAAACCTCTTCGGATCAAAGAAGCCATCGAAAACCAAGTTGGAAAATAAATTGACCCGGAAGGAGAATCAAAGGACCCATTTAGAGAATAGTACCCGCTTTAAATTCAAATCAAATATAATTTGTACAAATTTTGTGTTTATTAAAAATAATACAATTTTTTGTCCACAGTAATATCAATAAAAGATTTACGTTGTGTTTACCCATAGCCATTTCAACTCACTCGCACCATTGAGTTTCATTAACAATATTTATACCTGTCAATATTTCCAAAATTATCATTTGTATAAATGTGGCGGATCCATTCAAAAAAATTAGAGCCCATAAGTGATATATACTCCATTTGTCCAATTTTTTCTTTTTTTTGTCTTAAATTATATTTGACATGGATGCCAAAAGATCGGGACTTGCAATTTTGCATATTTTAATCGAATCAATTTCAAGAGCTCGAGTAAAGCATGCATTGAAAAATTGCAAGGCTTAATAAATAAATTAGAGAATTTGAGCCCAACTGACGGACTATATTACAACAAACGAGTACTCGATAGAATGCCTAGGGCGAGTCCCATGGTAGTAAAGGTTACATTTGTGTTTGCAATGCCTAAATCGAACAAATAGCGGAGAAGTTATACCAACCTAGGAATATGTTAAAATAGAGTGTTTAATATGTAATTATATAAACCTAGGATTGCATATGAATTAAATGGGGGACCATCCATTTAGGGATGTCAACGGGGCGGGTTCGGGACCGGTTCTGCAGGCCCTGTGACCCGCCCCGCTAGAAAATATTAGGCCCTGAGACCCCTCCCCGCCCCGCTTCCACCCGGCCCCAGGACCCGCCCCGCCCCGAACCCGGAGGGTTCGGGGCCAACCCGGCAAACCCGTTTTTTTTAAAAATATATAATAATAAATATTTTTTAACAATCGAATACTAAAACAAATAGCATTAAAAACAAAAAAAAAAATCTAAAAACAATCAAATATTGATCCATAAAAATAAGATAAAAATATATAAACATAATGCAAATATAAGAATTTAAAACATCAAATAGTCAATTCTAACATTCTTCAATATCAAAGTCTTCATCTACATCTAGCATTGCGGGCGGCAGGGCGTAGGCGGCGGGTGGTGGTGCAGGAGGCCGGCGGGGCGCAGACGGCTGGTGGTGGTCGGCAGAAAACAAGTAGATGATGATGGAAGACGGCTGCAGTCGCGGTTGAAAAAGCGGAAAAAAAATTAAGGATTTAGGGTTGGGCGGACAACTAATTGAGTTTTATGTTTAAAATTATTTAAATAAATAAATAATATACTTTTATTATGTATATATTAAAATATACATATATTATGTATAATAATTTTAAAAAATTATTTGAGGTAGGCGACTAATTGAATTTTATATTTAAAATTATTTAAATAAATAAATCATATATTTTTATTATATAAATATACATATATATTAGCTATAATAATTTTAAAAAATATCCGAGTTCGGGTCCGGGTCCGGGTCCGGGCGGGTTTTTAGTAAAACTCGTAACCCGTCCCGAACCTGGCCGAGTTTAAAATTTCAAATCCACAACCCGCCTTGAAACATATTATTTAGACCCGAACCCGCCCCATTAAGAGCGGGTCCGGGGCTAACCCGCCCCATTTGACATCCCTACATCCATTAGGACCACTTCTATATAATATGTAACGTCACATCCCTCTCACATGCATGGGGGACCATTAAACTTCTTGTCACTCATTAAAAGATTATATTCATCCCACGTTAGAAAACATATTAACTTTCCCCTTCTCTCACTTCTATAAAT